AAATTCAGAGAAAAAGTCCACAATCTTTTCACCCCATTTTTCCATGAACTTTCTGAAGCCCCACTGTGTGCGAGCCTGGGCCATCGGACTCCAGGTTTGGGCTCCGGTTCTCTCCACTGTCCCGCAGAGGTGAAGACTGGGCCCCTGACTTTGCACTTGCCGTCCTGGGGAAGGTGCTGAACTTTGTCCCCCTAAGACATGTGCTGCAAACCCCAACCTCTAAGCCTGTGGTTATAATCCCACCTGGGGATGGGCTGTCGTTGTCATGTTAATTAGACAGGATTAACGTAGGGTGTGTCTTCCATAGGTCTTGTCTGATCTATAAAGGAAACTGATTGACTAGCAAGTGTCAAAAGGCCGAGGCTGGGTCGGGGACATGACGGGGAACGCTGAGCCTCGAGAAGCAGAATTTCAGAGAGGCAAGGGCTTTCCTCCAAGAGCCCACACTACGCCCTGGGGGTGTCGTGGGTGATGCACTGGACTACTAGCTGCAAGGTCAGCAGTTCAAAACCACCCGCCATTCCAGGGGAGAAAAACAAGCCCTTCCACTTGCCTCGAAACCCACAGGGGATTACCGTCTCAGAAGAGGGCAAGATAACACAGACATGGCAGAGCAGTGACAGGAGACCGAAGTTCTCCTGGGAGTGTGGGGGGGCAGGCAGCGAAGTGCTCCTGGGAGTGTGGGGGGGCAGGCAGCGAGGTGCTCCTGGGAGTGTGGGGGGGCAGGCAGCGGGGGCTCCAGCTTAGGTCTTGCATTATCCTAAAAAGCTCACAGGTTCAGCACTGGTCTCCTGGTCATCTCCCAGACTGGCCTTCTGACCTTGCTCCTGCTCAAAGCAGACTCCCTTAGGCCACGGTAGTCAACACCAGAGTCCAGCTTGCTCTGACGGTAGTCAACACCAGAGTCCAGCTTGCTCTGGAGACTTCTGCTGCCCAAGAGAAGGTTGCTATGCCAACCCCTCCCCGGGACAGAGTCATATGGAATTCCCATAGTCACCAAACCAGCCCGGACCTCTTCCACGGTGTCCTTGTATCTCTTCCCCGTCTCCTCGTAATGGTGCCAGTGAGCGGCTGCTCGCGCCAGTTCAGACTCCAGCTTCTGAATCTTCTCCACATCGCCGGCCCGGAGAGTGGCCAGGCTGGTCAGCTTCTCCACCAACCCATGGCTCTCTTTGTGCTAAAAAACGAGATGGCGGCAGAGGGTTAGAGGGTTACTCAGGACAGAGACGCTGGTCTGCTCTCTTCTCTTTGTCAGGTAAACGTGTTCTTGAGCTGGGGGCCCTTTCCCTGTGGGGCCCATCCAAGGTCAGAGCTGCAGGGCGGCCCCAGCACGGCGCTCAGGAATATATAGAACAGGGCAAAGAGTGCCCAGTCCATCCGTGGCCCACGCACTCACTCATCAAGGCTTGGTACCACTCACTCATCAAGGCTTGGTACCGTAGAGGGTCAGCAAAAACCGGCAGTCTCCCAACGAGATGGAGAGAGATAATCGACACAGTGGCTCCCACAATGGGCCCAATTATAGCAACTATGAGTAGGCTGGTGCAGGACAGAGTTTTCTTCTGCCGTCCATGCAGAAGGCCTGGGTTTGAGTCCCAGCTAAGACACTGCACACCTGTTAAGGAGACCCGAGGGTTGTCATGGTGCTGAAAAGGTTTTAGCAGAACTTCTAGACCAGCGCTTCTCAACCTGGGGGTCACGACCCCTTTGGGGGTCGAATGACCCTTTCACAGGGGTCACCTGATTCATCACAGTAGCGAAGTGACAGTTATGGAGTAGCAACAAAAATAATTTATGGTTGGAGTCACCACAACAGGAGAAATGATATGAGGAAGGTTGAGAACCGCGCCATTAGGAAGGTTGAGAACCACTGTTCTAGACTGAGACAAGAGAGAAAGGCCTGGGGTTATACCTCTGAAACGTATCAGCCAAGATAACCCTTGGGATCGTGATGATGCAGTCTGCAGCCAATCACAGGTGGACGTGGGATCGATCGGACAGAGATCTACCCTGTTGTGTTTGGGGGTGTTCAAGTCAAAGACCCACTTGACAGTAGCTCTGTGGTAGTTACATAATTTTGGGTCAACTTGATACATGACATATGGGTGGAGTCTGGCCTGTCAATCAGGTCACAGGCTGATGGTACCTCCTTGTGGGTGTGGCCTTCTCTCTCATCAGGAGGGTCCTAGGAACCTCCCCCTCTCTCCATGTGGAGACCTGTGGGAGCCCTGGAGATGTGTCCACTGCCGTTGGATCCACAAGACTTTGCACCCACTGGCCAGTGAGGTTCCTGCAGTCTGCAGACCCTTGCATGTGGCTGTTTGAGTGTGAAGAGGGACTTATGGACCAGTATCGGACTTAATGCATTTTGGTTGGACTGGGCTGAGATGTTTTCCTGATATACAATTACTTCTTGATATAAAGCTCTTTCTTACACATACAGGAGTGTGGTAGTTACATAGTACATGACACATATTCTGGTGTCAACTCGAGAGGATTACAAGTGAAGGGGTGGAGTCTGGCCTGTCAATCAAGATATAACCAATGAAGCCTTGGTGTGGGCATGGTCTTCTCCTGAGAATTCTGAGAACTCCTGGATTTCCTCCTTGGAGGCAGGAGAGACTCTCTCTATCTCTGCTCACTCCCTTGGAGACTCTCCACTGACAAGACTTAAAACTCACTTCCTGCAAGCCATTCCTGAGAAGAAGCCACATGGACCTACCCTGATGCAGCCAGAACCCCGGACCTGGAGAAGTCACATTGAGTTAGTTAATTGTGCCAGCCTGGCCGATAATCACATGTGGTGCTGGTTGAAAGGCGGAGGGATAAATGGGTGGTGAAGCCTCGCTTTCTAGTTCTCGGGTCTCTTGTTTTGTGATGGTTGCATCGGGTGCAGCTGCCTTAGCAGTTCCCTGCTTCAGCTTGCAAGATGGATTTCCTACAAGACATCCCCAAGGAGAAGCCGCATGGATCTATCCCGATGCAGCCCTAGGTGCTGGAGCAGCCATGTGGAGACCCCTGCCAGTGCTGAGATGCTTACACGTTCACTGACTCAGCTTTCCTCCTGCAGTCGGCATCATTGCCTCTGTTTTGTGAGGTGGAGGACTTTGTGGACTGGTGTTGGGTTAATGGGTTAATGTTGGACTTGTGGGCTTGGGCAGCATTGGGTTGGGATGTTTTCGTGATGCACCTTTTCTTTACATAAAACTCTCTCTTATACATGAGTTGCTGTGGATTTGTTTCTCCAAAGTACCCAGACTAATACACACATGGAGACCTGTGCCAGCACAGAGATGCTTACAATGCCACTGGATCCACAAGACTCCCCACCCACTGGCCTGTGATATTCCTGCATTCAGTGTCATGGCATGTGTTACGTGAGTCTGAAGAGGACTTTATAGATTGGCATCAGACATATGGGCTAATATCGGACTTATGGACTTGATCTGGACTGGGCTGGGATGTTTTCTCAATATTCAACTGCTCTTGTATATAAACCTCTGCTTTATACACATATGCGTGTCTATGAATTTGCTTCTCTAGTCTACTTGGACTAACACAAATGCCCAACAACATGACTTAGCATACAGCTCCGTTCAAGGTTAATGCTAGAGAATCTCAGAGAGGCCTGAAAGTGGGTTTTATAGATCTGGACACTGAATAGTTCCCTCAGGACTATTAACAGCCTTCCTCACCCACTGAGAGTGCATGGGTTTCCTTGTGGCAGTGGGAATTATATTAGGAATCTCTCCAAAGCCAGGCAGACCTGCAGCTAAACCATATACTTCAATGGCCACCTTTGGGCAAGTGAACACCCACTCCCACCCTCAGCCCTGGACAGACCAGCCCCGAGGAAGCAAGGCTCGGCACACGGAGAGCTTCTGTTACACTTCAGTGGCAACGCCTGCTAGAAGAGGCTTCCCACCAGGACATGTGGCTTGGTAAGCAGGCCTCCAGCTGGATTTCAGCCTTTACTTTCACTCGTGGACAGGGACTCTTGTGCAGCGAACAACCTACACAACTGGACGCGGGAAACCATTTATAATGTGCTTCTATGGTCCAACGGGTACCCCGTTTAAACTTCCTAACATGGGCACAAATCTTAACAGCACAGCTAAGGAACAGGCCTGGAACCACAGAAAGGAGGTCAGAGAAAAGTATATGCAAAAGATGTATCATTAACACCCACCTGGTCTTCCAGCTTTTTCTGCAAACGCTGGACCCTGTAAGTAAGCTGAATGTTCAGCACGAACCGTCGGATACTTTGGAATCTGCGTCTGGCCAGCCACGCCCGGGCGTATTTCTGAAGGATGACAGCCTTGTGTTCCTGCAGCATCTTTAAAACACGATTGTGCTGCCTGAGAGCCGCGTCTCCACGGCTTCTCTCGTCAGCATCTCCAAAGCTGGAAGATGCAACTTCCACACGATCTATCCGAACAGGGTAAAGGGTGACGACCTTGTCATCAGACCGCAGAGACCTGGGACACCAAAGCTTCTGAAGGGAAAAGCCCACCCTCTCTGTGTCAGGCTTGCAAGAGCGGACACTCACAGACCAGGACTCCTTGCTCCAGGGAGCTCTTCGGGAGAAAATCCGTCTCACCATGGGCAGCGAAGAAGAAAACAAGGCCTCTTGGAAATCCCACCTCCCAAGAAAGCATGTGGTCTCAGCCGTACCTTGCGATACTGCCTCCTCGCCAAGAGTCCCCGCGCGTAGGCCTGGATCGTGATGGTGGCCAGGCGAATGAGCTGATACAAATTGCGGACCAGGTACCCCCGGCAGTGCTTCTGGATGACGATGGCCGCCCAGGCTTCTTTCAAAGCTGCTGCCGTGATGGCTTTCCTGTGTTACGAAGAAGAGAACGCAGAAGAGAGTGTGTCACCCCCCACCCACCCCCACTGGGCTGTCCCAGCCCCGTAAGTATGGGGAGCACTTTGAAAGTGATGACATATTCGCGTGGTTTGCATAGCTACACATCGATTCTGTAAGTGCCTAGTGCCTTCTCAAGGCCGGTCCTCCTTCCTTCCCCTCTCCTGTGCACGCTGAGAAAGCGCCAACAGGGCTCACGTGGCAGTGACCATGAGACAGGCTGGATTTGCCTTAGCCTGGCTAATTTATTCCTTCACTCAGGTGACAAATCCCACCGTGGGCGCTAGGCCCCTGTGGGCCAAACCCAGCCACCGTCTGTGTCTGTAGACAATGTTTACTGGCACTGGGTCAAGCATGCTACATACATCGTATCCGAGTGAGTGGTTGCGGCAGACGCCCCTTGAATGGCCTGCAAAGCCCCAATATCGCTGCCTATCCCTGTGCAGGGCAGGGTTGCCCGTCCTTGTCTAGAGGCCCAGGGACGAAGAGCAAGCTGCTGCTTTCAGATCTCACAGGCCACGGAGGAAGCAGACTGAACCCGGGTCAAAGAGAAATAGCAAGAACACAGGGGAAAGAGCGGTTTTCCTGCTTGGGCAGAGCTGCTGTGGGAACCACCCCGAGCCGGGGAGGCGGGATTTCTGCAGGCAGTGCCGGCAACATTCAGAAAGGGGGATGTTGTCTGGAACTGCCAGGCTAGCGGGTTCAAACCAAACGGAACTCACGGCCGTAGAGTGGCTGCCAACTCGCAGCGGCCCTCCTGCTCTGGGGGCGCAGTGGCCGTGGACTGATCTGTCAGTCACAAGGTCAGCCATCCGAAACCACCAGCCACGGGGCTTCCTACTCCTGCCAGGAGTTCCAGTGTTGGAAACCCACAGGGGCGGGTCTCCTGTCCTATGAGACTAGAGGGTCCGTGGAGAAATCCGTGATCAACGGGGCCAGGACTATTGACGGACACCAATTTTCACGCATTTACAGAACACTCACTGAGTGGTAGCTGCTGTGCGAGGTACGAGGGTTAGGGGCAACGGGGACGAGACAGGTAGGGCCCTGTCCCCTTGGAGCTTCCATTTGCTTGAAGGCATCGAGGCCACCGAGGTCCTTGACTACATCAAAGACCGAGAGTCTCTGGAGAAAAGGGCTTTCCCGGGCTACAGAGCTGCTCAGGCCTGGACAGAGCAGGGGCTCAGTCAGGTCCAGCCTAGGGAGATGAGAGGCAGGAGCCAGGAAGGTCTAACAAGGGCCTGGGGCCTCGGGGCACGCTCCTGTGTTCCCGTCATTTTATCTGCAGTGAAATGAATGGGGCAGATGCGCCAGGCAGGGAAAGTAGAGTTACCAGGCCTTGGCGATTCCAAACAGAAAGGAGACATGCGTTTGGGGTGGAAGAGAACGCTTGTGTGTCCTGCCCCAGAGACAGAAGTCATTATCTGAGCCCAGAAACACGAGGGAACAAGCAGGCCTATGTCTGCTCCAGGGAGACGGCACACACACTCGCGGCCGCACTGGGCAGAGCCGGTA